CTGAGCCCAGCCCAGCTGGGGCCCTGCCCAGCCACAGAGCTTGCCCTGCCGGTGCCACAAGGGTGAGGGTGGCCCTGAGCCCTTTCCAAGTCCCTCCAAAGGGTGCCAGCCCTTGCCCGGGGCTGTGGGTGGGGGTCAAGGGAGCGAGGGGCCATGGCGCCCTGGCTGCTGCTGGAGGGGACCCAGCCCTGCTCGCACTGGCCTCACCTCTGTGGGTTTTGCTCCAGGGGCAGCAGGGCAGGAAGTATCTCCCTCTGCAGAGGGGGCAGGGGATGGGCTGCAGCCCCCAGCAGTGCTGCCCAGCAGAAGAGAGGGGATCCCGTCCATCTCTCCCGCTCCTCCTGTAACCCTCTGCCGTAAGCCTCACACGTTCTTTGAGTAGCCAAAGATGCCCACAGGGAGGTACTTGACGTGCGTTGGCCACTGTGCCGCCAGCTGGAAAAACTTGACATCATTCCACTCCACCCCATCTATGGAGACTAAAAGGACATGACATGGTCAGGAACAGCTCCAGGGCCCAGCCTATGCTGTCCCGTCTGGCCCCTGTGGCCCCTAGGGCTGGTTCCTCCTCTACTTACCTCGCAACATGGTGTTCTGGTGCTTGGCTGTGCAGATGAGGCGTGTGATCCCTTCGATGACTTGGCTTTTGGGCTCCAGGTCCTTCTCCTTTGGTTTCTTGCTCAGGAACATCACTGAGGGGAGCAAGAGCAGACTGAGCAAGGCTGAGATATCCCCACCCAAGCCCTAGAGGGGAGTTGCCACCCCGGGGTTGGTCCTCAGCTCTGGCCTATCCTGAGTTCTCCAGCCCTTTTTGCACCAGACCACAGCCCCAGGACTGCAGAGTGTCCAGGAGGTGGGTTTGGGGTGGTGGTAGTGGTTACCTTTCTTGTTCTTCTCCTTGGTGACCACAGTCATGGCCATGGTGCTGGGTGGCAGCAGCTCCCCGGTGCTGGGGATGCGGCTGACCTGGAGTGAGCGGAAGTTGCTCTTGAGGGTGTTCTTGATGCCCGTCTCCCGCTTCTCGCCCTCCTTTTTCCTGTCTGCCCCTTGTGTCGTCCAGTAGTCCACTTGCAGTCCCATCACCTCCACGCTGGGGCTCAGGGACCTGTGTGAGACAGGCAGCAGCGTGCAGCATGTGGGCACAGGGGTCTCATCTTTGCTTCTCTCCTTTCCTGCCCCCTGCCACAGGCAGCCCTGGGAGGGGACCCCAAACCGCAGGGCCCACCTCACCCGGCACCCCAGTCTGAACAGGCTCCCTTACCCAGCACCCGAGAGGCCGCTGCTGACAGAGGGCGAGGGCGGCGGGGTGCCCACGGTCTCCTTGCCGTAGGGGACCGCTCCAC